TCTTTTTCCTTGCGTCACCACTATATATCGTTTAGAACCACCTTTTGTAAATTTTAACATGTGTCCTTTCTGCCTAAGTATTACAACAAAATTTTTGTTTCTCTTCCACAGGGTATGAATTAAAAACCTAAAACTTAACAACAAGAAATAAAAGGCAGTAAAAAAAAAAAGCGCATATGGCAAATATGAGAGTACCCAGAATCATCTTCTTGGACTCAGGAACAGTCTGAAACTGAGATAACTCCAGCAGCGCCCCTCCCCATTTCGTCAGATTCTGCATCAACCAATTTAACAAATCACCACTCTTCTTTTGCTCAAAAAAATCATCTACTTATAATCATACGCGCACGCATAAATAACCTAACGTCTTTTTCTCTATTTTCCCCCTTAAAAAGATATTCATATTCGGCCAGTTATAGTTAAAGGGAAATACAAACAAAAGAAACATTAAAATATATATATCTATATATACGGACATCGGCATCGTAAGGATTTTGAGCATATTTTTCCTCTGCCTGTCTGCGAGTGCCCTCGAAATAGAGCAGCCGATCAAAATCGTTCTGCATTTCGATGATGGGGTCGTCGACTATTGATGACGTTGTCTTCCTCAAAATCTAAACAAGAAAGAAAGGGGGAAAAAAACTAGGGCGTCTCTCCTCTAAACTCCCGCTAAGAAAATCAGCTAAAGTCGTCTTCGCCGGGTGGGGAGTGGATTGGGGTTTTATTGAAGCCCTTGTTTAGTTTTGAGGGCTGTTTTGGTTTGCTTTTGTCAACAAATACCAACTGGACCATATTACCCCAGCCAATAGCCAAACTACCTAAGTACTACGAGAAGGGAAACTACCACCGGAGTTCTCTGACGTTTGTTTTTATGTCTGTTACGGTCATAGTAATTAAAACCCGACCGGGATCCGGCAACAGAGGTGGATCATTGGATTGTTGATAAGTGGCCCAATCGATTCGGTCACTATATATATTTAAATATTGGGCCTGTTTGGAACCTGAGTTTTTTGGGAGTTTATCTAAAACTTTACTGTAGTACACTGTAGAAGTTTTTGAAAAAATTTGTGTAAAATTTTTTGTAAGGTGAAAATTTTTTTTGTAGAAGTTTTTAAGAGGAAAAACTTTTTTTTTCTTTTTTTCTTTTCTTTTTTTTTTCTCTTTCTCTTTTTCTTTTTCTTTCTTTCTTTTTCTTTTCTTTCTTCTCTTTTTCTTCTTCTTCCTTCCCTTCCCCTTCCCCGTTACCAGCCCCCCTCCCCGCAGCAACGCAGCACCCCTACCCCTCCCCCTCTCCCTCCCTCTGCCGTCACCCTCCCTCTCCCCTTCCCCCTCCCTTCCTTTCCCCTTCCCCTTCTTTCCCCTGCCACTCCTCTTCTCCCTCTCCCGCCACCCCCCTCTGCTCTCCACCCCTTTTCCTCCACTCTCCTTGCCACCCGCCACCCATATTCCTCCCCTCTCCCCCGCCACCCGCCACCCCTTTTTCTCTCCCGTCACCTCTTCTCCTCCCCTCTCCGCCGCCGCCCCTCTTCTCCCTCTGCCCCGCCAACCCCCTCTGCCCGTCACCTTCTTTTTCTCCTCCCCTCATCTATCCCCGTCACCCTCAGCAACCCCGTCGCCCTCGCGCGCGAACAGATCGCAGCTCCCCTCCCCTCCACTTTTGCCGATCTGGTAATGGGACCAGATCTTCGGTCGTGGGAGGGGGAGGGTTGCGGGGGACACACAAAAAAAAAGAGGAAGGCAGTCAAATTGGGTAAAGGAGGAGGATGGCAGGGAGAGGGAGAAAGGCAAAAAAAAAAAAAAAAAAAGAAAATGGCGCCGGAGGTGGTGTGTGGTCGGCGACGGAGGTGGTGGACTGGGTTGGGATGGTAGAGGAAGAAGAAAGCCAAAGGGAAGGGAATTTTTTTTATGTGTGTTTTGTGTATTGTCTTGGATGGTGGAGGAATTTGTGTGTGTTTTGTGTATTTTGAAGTGTGTAGGTAAAAAATTTTGAGAAGTTTTTTGGGTTCCTGTAGCAAAAGTTGTTAAAAAACTTGTAGGTAAAAAACTTGCCCAAAAAACTAGCTTCCAAACAGGGCCATTATATCTTATAATTTTTTTATATGATTGAAACTATAATAAATTATATCATAATAAATGTTCAATTAGTCTAATTCATTATAGAATAATTAATTCTTATAAGAATTAACAACCTATGTTTAATTAGTAATCCACCAAATTTCAAGTATAAAATTTTATCTAAGTGTAATTTTCTAGTTTATTTATAAATTTTAAGTGCAAAAGTTTATTAAGAACGATATTTAGCTTTAAAATGAAAGGTAAAATATTTATGAATTGATGAAAGGTAAAAATATTTATGAATTGTGTATTTCAATTGTGAACTAAAACTATTTATGAATTTCAATTGATTTTTTACGTCTATTTCATAAATTATAGAGTTTGGGGAATAATAAAATGTTAATAAAAGATTCCAAATAAATATTGTTTTTGAGAAATAAAATAAGAATAAGAATATAATATATAATATAAGAAGAACAAAAATACTAACAAATGAATTATTGGTTCAGTGGCGCACTCTACTTTTATGCATAAGATCCCATGTTTGAACCTTCATTGAAGCATTTACACAAAATTTTTCCTATAACAACATATGGTCTGGGTTCCTTGAAAAATCGGCCGATTCACCGAATTCATTGGTTGAACTGTTGATCCGTTAACAAATTAACAGTCTAATTGCTTGAACGGTCCAATTAAATATCCAGACCGACTTAGTTGCTGGTTGATCGGTTGAACCATCAGATCGGATTTAATAACACTGGTTACGATATTTTGGACTAAGACAAATGTCGTGTTTGATAACTCAATTCATCCTTAAAAAAAAAACTCAATTCATAATAAAAAATAAAATATTTAAATTAATTAATTGACACTTAATTTTTAGACAAAATTTACTCTTTTAATAAATGATAATATATTAACTTACCATTTAATATAAAATAAGTAACAATTTAGTGACTTAATAAATTTAAATTTCAGATTTTAATTTTATTAAACACATCCTAAAACTCACAAAACAAATACTTAAAATAGTATTAGCCAAGATTATTAAGATAGGCGAAGTTTTGGTGTGACTCAGAGCTTATGCAACAAAGAAAACAATACTCTTAATTTTGAGGTTCACCTCACTTAAATTTTTTCCCTTGTTTCTCCAATTAACTAAGACTCTGTATAGATTGGGTATTTTTGAGATATTTTTTAATTATAACAATATAGCATTTTATTGTAAATATTTATTAGGATGTTTTTTAAATTTAAAATTTTGTTGGAGTGTTTTTAAAAATTGAAAATACCACCACCGACCTATCAATGCTTTCCTTCCTTCATTCCTTTCTTTTTCCTCCTCCTCCATCATTCCCTTCACCCCTCTTCCATTCCTTTCCCTACCAAAACTTGCATCCCTCTCCATTCCTTCTTTCAATTGTTGCCAACGGTTTTGCAGTAAAAAAGAGTCATAACTAGAGGCTTGCAACCAGAAATAAATAAGGCGTAAGGTAGGAAAATGGGGGCTTGACGGGGAAGAGGGAAGGGAGAGAAAGATATGAGGGAAGAATAAGGAAAAAATGGAGGGTAGAAAGAGAAAATAGGGGAAGAAGAAGAAAAAAGGGTGACGGATGAGGAGGTAAGGAGCAGTTGTGGTGAGTGATGTTATGTAATGGTAGGAATTATGTTATTTCTTTAGATGTAACTGGAATTGTATGGATTCAGTGTTTTTAGAATTGTTTTTTTGAATGTATTACTGTGAACTCCACAAATAAAAATAGTTTTTTGGGAAAAATAGATAATCCAACTAGAGCCTAAAGTCCCGTTTGATAATTCAATTTAGTATTTAAAATTAATAGATTAAGACAAAGATGAAAATATTTTAATTATTTAAATAGCTTTAAATTGTTTAGACAAAACAATAATGCTTGAGTAATATTCACTTATCACTTACTTAACGCACAATACGTTAAAGTGTTAAAATTTCAATGGTAAACCATCTAGTACTAATAGATTTAAATTTTAGTTTTATTAAACACATCCTGAGTCAGCTGAAACAATAATGCTTGGGCTGGACTCCGTCCGGTTCAAACGTTCAACGTGTAATCTGATCCCGCATTTAAATCTTTGGGCTTTTGGGAGACGCATACAACACAAGACCCAGAAGCACCGGATGTTGGCAGTTTCTTCCATTGCCGATCGGCCAACGCGCGAAAGCAAACATGGGTTTGAGCTGCTCTCCCGGTCCCGCAAAGTATTCCTTTTCCTGTTTCTCATCGGTATTCCTATGGTTGATGCTCTCAGTTACCTGATCCGAGGTAAAAGATCACTCAACCGACAGACAACATTAAATGTTGATCAGCAGCAGTTCATGAATTTAGCATGACACTGAGCTGTGACCATCCTAACACAAGTGTGTCCCCATCCTCACTTCAAAACCGTGAGTGACACCCTGTTGACACCAACGCCACACCTCCCGCCAAAGTCCGCCAATAACGCCTTGCTGCGTGTTCGCATTTAGCTTCCAGCGCGTGGGGGAACCGTTAAATGATTAGCTGTTCGACGCTTTCCGAAAGAGCCAAAAAAGTCCAAACAAGGATGGCAGTGGTGTAAATAATAGCAGAACTCTTGGGCATTTTTCTCACGCCATTCAATATGAATTTGGAAAAATCTGGGTTAGCTGCTCCGCTGTCGCATCTTCCGCCGAGGACATAAGGGTGCATCTCTCTCTCTCTCTCTCTGTCTCGACTCACTCGTCCTACTTACTTTCTCTCCCTCTAGACTTTGTTCTCCTCTAGCTATGGATCCCCAAAATCTAGGGTTCTTTTAACGGCCGAATATCTTGCTCGGATCTGTTGATTAAGCCCCTGTATTTGCTCCGTTTAATCTAGTTCATCAAATTTAGAGCTTGTTTTTTATTATCTCTCCAGAGCTCTGAAGTGAGTGAAGATCTTATGGCTTTGCATGCATTTGCCAATTCTCTGTTTTGGTTGCTCAAAGTTGAAATTGCTCAAATGTTGGCTTGATTTCCCCCCCGGCATGTTAGTCCAGTTGATTTTAGGTTGCTGTTGTTTTTACGAATCCATTTGATTTAGTGACTACTTTAAGTTTGCTGTCTTTTCTTTTCTTTTTCTTTTTTTGGGTGTGAAATGTCGTTGATTATGATCAAGACGATAGCTTTACTGTTCATGAGGCATGGATGAGGATCCTGGGGTTGGGCTTAGCTTTTCGAACTGTATTCAATGGAGGTCACTACTGTTTTTTGCCTTCCCCCTGACTTGGATCAACGCAAACTCGTAGATTATTTAAAGTCTCTTCAAATTTTAAGGATATTTTGTCAATTTTATCAATTGATATAAGGAAGTACGCCTCTCTTTCTTTCTTTCTTTTCTTCTTTAAAGCACCAATGGAGCAATAATTTGAGCCCATTATTTAATTTGCTCTGTCCAGTTTTAACTGTTCAAAAAATGAATTTCTTTTCTTTGTGATTGAGGAACAAGGAGCGTTTTTTAGTACATTATTAGAGTAATGATGTGTATTTTTTCCCCTTTCGACGTAATTTACCAGCGGCCAGCTCTACTGCGCATTCTATTGATATGCGGGGTGAAAGAAAATGTGATTTGTGGGTGTTGTTTCCGTTTGCTGCTTATAGCCTTTCAGTTTTCAATTGATTTACATTTTACTGAGTGTGATTGACATCCACTTGCTTTTATGTTGGCATGATAAAATTTTTTTGGTCAATCAACTAGGCCTTTCATGTAAGTTATTAGCTTCTTTCTTTTGACCTTTCACCGAAAAAACGCATTTGCTATTTTCTGTTTCTTGCTGTATGTTGTGAGTTTGGGCCCCTTTCTTATGGTCTTTCAAGTGCCACTTTCAAGGTGTTCTTTCTAGAATTTTCATCAGTGCATAACTGATAATATCTGCTTATTTATTGGGTGCATAATTGTATTCTAGATTCTGCAGCATGGAGAGTATGCATAGCTATTGGCAATTGGGTGATGAGCTTCGAGGACAAGCTAAAGTCTCAGAGGATCATAAATGGTTAATGGCTGCTTCGAAGTTGGCTGAACAGACTAGGTTAAAGGTGAGCGACGGAATAATCTTGATCTCTCAAAGGGCTCAGCTGAAATCAGGCCTAGGGATAATTTTGGGTTTCAAGAAGACAACAAGTTTGAGAGTCTTAACTTCACCATGTTGAATTTGGACATGAAAATGAATGAGAGTTTGAGCAGAAGCCCCATGGGAAATGGTGTATACAATATGAATCCTTTGTATCAGAAGCCTGGTGCCAATGGTATGGGAAATTTATCTGTTAGCAAATATATCACAAACAGCGGCAGCAAGGACCATAACAACAACATCAACAACGAAAGCATCAATGCAAACAATGCAGTTGACAAAAGATTCAAGACATTGCCTGCTGCTGAGACACTTCCAAGGAATGAGGTTCTAGGTGGATACATCTTTGTCTGCAACAATGACACGATGCAAGAAGATTTAAAGAGACAGCTGTTTGGTAATTAAGCATTTCTTGCTGTTTTAGAATTACATAAACTAACTTCTTGGGACGCTGTTAGTTTATTTGTAGGACTCCTGGAATATTGGATGTTTTCTGTATGTAGATTCAAGAATTCCAACTTCCAAGTCGGTTTATCAATACTAGTACTTTTGTTTTTTGTAACGTGGGGCATGCAAAATGTTCATATATGCATACTGCAATTAATTCCAATACTTTGCTTTTTTCCATTGTTGTATTTAACCATGGATTCAGGAGTAACATGAGCTGTCCATATTGAGCTGTTGTTTCATGCCATATCTCATATGGAGAGTTGTTAAGTTTTGAAAAGATGATTCTGTCTTTAAGAGGCGCATTTTTCTTTTCTACCTGATGATCCCATATAAACCTATTGTTACTCCTTTTCTATTAGGTTTACCACCAAGGTACAGAGACTCCGTGAGGGCAATTACCCAGGCCTACCACTGTTTCTCTATAATTATACCACTCATCAGTTGCATGGTATATTTGAGGTATTTCACTATCCCTTTTTTTAAAAAAAAAAATATATATATGTCTGTCCTTTGGCATGTAAGTTATACTGAGCAATGTACTATGGTCTCTCTTGTGGATGTTGCTTTTTCGTTATAGGTTCCGAATTTGAGTTTATTTGTATGGCATCTTTTATTGCTAGGACTAATTCATATATCTTCTGAACTATTAAGTTAATTACCTTTTTTTTTTTTTTTGGCTTGGCGTTTGACATCATCATTTTTGGTAGGGTTGTCAATTGTTGATTAATGAATTATCTGAATGAGGTAGCTTTTTTTAATGTGTGATTTTTTTTTTTAAATCTTTTTTTGCATATGGGGTGGTTGTGGGAAGGGACTAGGGGAATTGTGACAATTAAACCCTGATTGTTTGACAAGAAACAATCTTGACCGTTAAGCTCTATTTGATTCTCAAAGTTCACTAAGGATAGCTTTTGGTATTCTGATTCTGCACTTCTCTTTGATTGTAATTGTGTGATTTTAACATGTATTGTCTGTATCCAAGTGCACATGAATCAGGATTTTATTTTCTTTGCAACTGGCGCTTACTATGCTTTTAATCTTTTAGTTAGAGAGAACTTCTCACAATTGCTTTTGGAAATTTTGTCTGTGCAGGCAGCTACTTTTGGTGGTTCCAACATAGATCCTACTGCCTGGGAAGATAAAAAATGTAAAGGGGAGTCAAGGTTTCCTGCTCAGGTGAAGCACTGATATAATATATGTATCAGTATCCGTTTACTTTTTGGTGGTAGGTAGGTGTTTCTTGTTTTGTTTGTCAACTAAGTGTTCATGGGGTTTAGGTGCGTATCCATACAAGGAAAGTGTGTAAACCTTTGGAGGAGGATGCTTTTAGGCCAGTCTTGCATCATTATGATGGTCCCAAGTTTCGCCTTGAGTTGTCCATACCTGAGGTATGATATTCTATGTTGCAACTTGCAAGGTTTCCTGATATGCCCTGAAAATGACATTGCTCGATTTTGGTGGCAATGCAGACTCTCGACTTGCTAGACCTCTGTGAGCAAGCTGGTGTCTGAAACTCATAGAGCCTTGTTGGACGTGTATTGGCTACTTGGTAGCGTGGTTGTGAATTGTAGGATCGCGGTGCATGTAATCAGTGCTTTCCACAGATTTTCCAAAGAGCGCAAGCTCCGGGGTATTTCTGTTTGTGAGATGTTTCTGGGAGTAGATTGGGTTATGAGTGGCCAAATAAGCGTAATACTTTTGGAAGATATTTTATGTGTAGCTTAAAAGAGTTCAGTTGTGTGATGCTTGTAGGATGATATGTACTGCCATTGTTGGAAGATGATTATGTAATATTAGTAGCGTTAGTTTATTTTGTTTTGAGATGTCCTTGGCCATATTCCTGCCGTTAAGAGGGATTTTGGGCACGTTTGACCATCCTCCTTGTTGACTTGCACGGAATTCGTCGTTTGGTATTTAATCCTAATAATCTATATTTGTTTGGATTGTAAGTTATTTGGGATATTTTTACTGTAGCATTTTTTGTGATGTGATGTATGTGAAATAAAAAGATAATTGGGAAGATAAAAAAGTGTATTGAAAATTGTAATGATGATGTAAGCAAATAAAATTGAAAAAATAATGCTCAATCCAAACAAACCTTATAGGTATTTAGGAATGGATTTTTAGCAGAAACTCTCTCAATAGTTTTTAAACTTCTTATTTTTTTTTTCTAGATTTTTGTATTTATTTTAATACATAAAATGTAGTGGGTTATAACCCACTTTATCACTAATCAAATTTAAATTTAAAATATTCTCACTATCTCTTAACTCACCCTACAACCACTCCTACATCATTCCACGTTTTCCCCTATATTTCCTCCCACGTTTCCCACTCCAATTAAAAGTACTCCAAACATAGCATGGTAAATACCTGAAAGCTATCCCATCCTGGTACCAGAACTCTGGTGCTCTTCTTAGTACGCATCACACTTTTTTTGTTGAACCTTCGGCAGACGTCAGGAAGCGGCAGTGACTACCTTTCAGTAAGTGACCCTGCTCATTTAGCTATTGATTAGTATTATTGTGTTATTTTAACTTTGCCCCACTTATCTGCTATCCCAAATTCAAGTTGTCCTATTATTTAATATATTAAAATTTTTCACGCAAAATTTGTAGGGAACTCATCTAAAGTTTCCTCACCCTCTCTCTCAGTTTCTTATTTGTTTTTGGTTATCTATTGATTTTGTAAATGTATTGATTTTGTTTCTTTTGTGAGCAGTAATGGAAGATATTATGTGCAGAGACTTCAACAGAAATCAATCTTCTTGCGGAGAATTAGAAGTATATTCTTGCCGGCTTAATTTTTCAGGTTGGTTCCCTCTGCCCCTCTGCCCCTCTGGCCTTTAAGTATGTTTTGCTTTTGCTTTGCTTTTTGTCATGAATGATATTGCATTGATTTTCTGATCATCCTTTATTTCTGAAAACTTTTTACAAAATCCTATGAACGGAACAATAAGCAAACAACCATTCAAAGGAACTGGGCTATGAGTATCTTCCTATGAACGGTTGTGTTGTTTAGTGGAGGATCGATGTTTAAAAAAAAAAAAGAAAATAGTACAAGAGGTAAGATGTTTAGTCATTATCTTTGTAGCATCTCTGTTAAATAGGAAAATTTCGAATAAAAATTGATGAGAGGAATGTTGAAGTTGATTTTCTTCCTTTTGCTAAATAAAATACGTCAGTGACTAACTAATAACTACCATGTTGAAAAATGACTTTTAATTTTCTCAAAGCATAGAATTCTGGTATTGGGTGGCAAAAAAATACTTATGTTAAAAAGTGAACGTGTTGCAAGAAATATTTGAAAGTTCTGTAAGAAAATACCAATTTATTCAAAGTTATTAACTTTGCACGTGAAAACTATGCGAGTTTTAAGTATCTTAATGACATAAAGCCTTGCCATTACAAAAAAAAAAGAAAAAAAAAAAAAAATCTAAGACATATGACTCCTTATTGCTTTAAATACAAGGAATGAAATTTATATGACCAATAATAAAAAAAAAAGAATTTGCTTTTAGTCATGAATGATATTGCATTGATTTTCTGATCGTCCATTATTTTTGAAAACTTTTTACAAAATCCTATAAACGGTTGTTTGCTTATTGTTACACCGTAAAGCAAAGATACTCAATAGTGGGATAAAGTATAAACACAAAATCACAAGCACATGCTCCAAAAGACCCATTAAATGCATGATTTATGCATCTACCATGCTGTTGCTACTCAAACAGCATCAATTTAGCGAAAATGGAAAGTGGAAGCGATGTGTGTGAAGAACGAAATTGTAAAGTTTAACTGCACTTATTGTTCATGATAAGACACAAACTCGAACCATCAGAGTAGGGCCTATTAAACCTCTACCAATTAACCAACGTGATCTTCTGGAATCTCATTTTTAGGCCTGCAATAGCCTCACTCATTAAAGCTGCTTGGCAATGTACTTGAAGGCCTTGTTTTTTCAATCATATTTAAACTTCACTTGGAAGTCAAATTACAACCTTCTTGATCTCATGTTTCTTTAATTCGAGACACAACATCAGGAAACGTTGAAAATTCATCTTGCATAGCAATAACTCTTACGTGAAGAGGATCAGAAGAGACTAAAGAATTCAGATACCAGTGTAGCAGTTATTGCATTAAGATTGATACAAAAGGAGTAGTAACAATTATGAGCATACCTGATCTAGAAATGCACCTTTTTGGTTTGCTTGAATTCAGCTTGAAACTGTCGGCTGTTCTTATGCAGACGCTATTGACAAAACGACTAGCCATTTCTTCCAGGTTCTGAATTCTTCAATATCGGCAAGCATTAGAACAGTCTTAAAAGGCAGATAGTGTTTTTTTTTTTGAAATGAAGTCCTCGATAGCACATAGATTTTGTTTCAAAGTAAAGTTGGACAAAAAAAAGTTAATCATTTAATTTAATTGAATAGACATTAAGTTATATGGTATTTGATCCCATTAATCCAATATGACCATATTTGACTTCTTTAGTATATCAAGCAGCATGCCAATTGTAACGTAATAATAAGAAAAAAAAAAGCAGATGCTGAAAATGAAGTTATGAAATTACTTTAGAACTAGTGTGAATACCCGTGCTACGCACGGTGCCTATATTATTAAAAAAAATTACAATCTATGGAAGAATTTAAAAATAGTAAAATATTATAATCACGGGCATATGAAAGTATATTTAAAAAAATGAAACTTTGTAACAATAGTTCAATATATGATAAAAACATCTCCATTATTTATAAACGATCATTTCGATGAAGGTTGGATCCTGAAAAAAAAATAGAAATCTATATCATAAATTGAACGACATAAGGGTCCAATTAAATATAATTGAATATTTAATTTGATAAGTAAATGAAATGCATACAGACATTTTGCCTTTGATTTGATAATCTTCTACGAAGGTGTGAACATTCTTCACACCAGTCAACTCTGAGTACGAACGCCAGTATTGGGGGTTTAATTAATTCTGTTGTTTTTTGTGGAGTTCACACTATAAATGAGAATGCACGATTTTTGCATGAATTAATGTGTTGGTCGAACAATGCACCTCCATTTTTCTGACAATTAAAAGCATACATAGTTCAAAATTATCTTTTGTTTTAGTCAGTTTGTAAATAATATTGTGTAAAAAATATACATATAAATAATGTATACCTTTGTTTTTAAATCTCTAAGATAAGAAGCATCACAACGAAACATGAATCGTGCATGCCTGTCTTGAAGAGCGAAGTATAGTACCGAAACTTGTAAACAATGGAAACAACAATTATATTATAATATTGAAAATATTAGTAATAATTGAAATTACAATGAAAATGTCAATATTCAAAGAATAAATAGTACCGAAACTTCTATTTTGATACATAAGATTACTGTCCATAAGATTACACCTAAAAAGTATATTAATTTTTAGGTGCCATTGTCTCATATGTTCTCGTAAGCAATGTTTTGCAAGATTCTTAGGTGCCATTGTCTCATATGTTTTTGCAAGAATTATTTTTTGAATCTATTCCTTTTTTTTTTTTTTTTGCTCTTTCTCTCGATCGTCAACATTTTTGTCTTGCACGATTCCTACTTTCCACAGTAAAATTACAGCATAATCCAGATTTAAGCAGCCCAAGGACATGTAATGCAGTAAGACACAAAATCTACCAAAAAAAAAAAAGCCAAAACACAAAAAACGAACCTACCCGTTAGTAGTAATCTCTTAATGTCAACCTTCAGAACATCTTATTTCAAAGAAACGAAAAAACTCCAAAGATCACAACTCATAATTAATAGTACTACTATTTTGCGTGAGTAGAATTAACAGTTTGGGGGAAAACCTACATAAGTCACATCATGAGCACAACTCATGATATGATCAGTTTTTCAGCCATAATGTGGGATGTAGTATACTTTTGGGAATTACTCATTATCTTTGTCAAATTTAAAGGGCTATAGTGAAGCACTTTAAGCATGATCTTCCACCAAAAACTTCTGCAATAAATGCAAACTGCATTCCTTGTTCAGTATAATGTTTCAGTTAATTCACATTACCTTACTTTTATATTTTTTTCAAAAGAAAAAAAAAGAATGTTACATTAGTCCCTCATCAGTTTCCAAGCTATTTGTCTCTAAGTCTGAATAGTCACTCGAGGTGACTGGAGAAAATATCTTAATCTCCATTTTTGTTCTAAACTTTTAGCGCTTTGTGCGTAGAAATAATAGCATTAATGGGAAGACATTTAATGAAAAAATAACGTTTTCCTAATCAAAGCTATGACCATGTTCTGGGACTAATATGATTAATTACTAATACAATGAGAACTATATGTCTAAATGCCTAAACTCACATAAAAGCCATAGTACCATACTTTGTTGATTGAGCCAGCAAGGATTAGTATGGAAACAACAATAATATTACAATATTGAGAATATTATTTATAATTGAAAATACAATGAAAATATCAATATTAAAAGAATAAATAGTACCGAAACTTCTAATTTGATTGGCGGGCGTTTGAGTCGGTGTAGTCGAGATTTTATCCATCGTAGTTGATGTGAGATTTCTCTTTCGTCGACGCAAAGTTGTTGGAACTATTCCAATTCTTGTGCAGGACCGTTGTGGCGTCCTTTTCGTTTTGTTAGCAGATGTTTCCTCCATTGCAATCTTGCGAGTTTGAAATTCAGGCATTGTTGACATGCCTGTAAACGGCCATGTTCCATTATGAAGTTAATTGAGAGGTTCGAGAAGGAAGTTGATTGGAAGGGTTTTAAGAGTAATTCCCAAAAGTAGTACCAAGTATATTGTTGCTTCGTGGCAGTTGGAAAAGATCATGTGCTATCTTCAATTCCGTTGAATTATGGGCTATCTTTATTCTGGTCAATGCTCTTCAACTCACTGGAAAATGGGAATCAGTAGTGGTACTACAACCATCTGACGCACGGGTAAGTGGAAACAGTTTTAATGTAAGTGGAAGTTAAATTTTTGTTTGAGAGAATGTGGGAGTGTTAGAGTTTTAACGTAAGTGGAAGTTAAATTTTTGTTTGAGGGGACGTGGGAGTGTTAGTTGAAGTTAACTCCTTATTTGAGGGAAACGTGGGGATGTATACAACCATCTGACGCACGGGTAAGTGGAAACAGTTTTAATGTAAGTGGAAGTTAAATTTTTGTTTGAGGGAACGTGGGAGTGTTAGAGTTTTAACGTAAGTGGAAGTTAAATTTTTGTTTGAGGGGACGTGGGAGTGTTAGTTGAAGTTAACTCCTTATTTGAGGGAAACGTGGGGATGTAATGTGCCCATGATATTTTTTTACGAAATAAGATAAATGTGAAATGCTAGGAAAATAGAATTGAGAGTGGGAAGGGTTGTGGAGGCTTGTTCCTAAAAATCCCTTCTCAAATTTATATAGATATAGATTTTTCAGAACTTTTAACAAGGTCAAATATGTTAAAATTAAAATGGTGAACAAATAAAGGTGAAAATACTTACAAAGTTATTTTTGGGTCCCCTCCTCTTCAAATTTATTTAAAAAATATTTTTTTTTTGCGGACGGGTTAATTTCATTCAAACCCTGAAAAGTTGGAAAAAAAAATCGAAGTCCTTAGATTAGAAAAATTATCACCCAGAGATTTATTTTAATTTCTACTCCAACTTTGCTTACTATTAAAAGAACAAATATTGAAAAGAAATTGCCAAAGAAGGCTTTTAAATTCAAAGTATGTAATGTTATCATGTTGAAAGAGTATGTTTCCTTTTTTTTTAAAAAAAAAAATGATTAAAAGTACGTGAAATTATTAAAAGAATATATTTGGAACTCCATCTCTTAATTCTCTTTTTTTACCTATGTAAGGGATAGAGTTTCTTCTAACTTGAAAAATAAAAAAAAGCGCTGAATTATGTTTTAATAAAATTTCTAGATTTTTTGTAGGGTCAAATTGCAATGCAACCTTTCACCTTGACGCTTTTAGAAAAGAAGATAACAAAGATTGAAAAACCCGAGGGATGCTGCAAAATTCAAGAAAAAGGTCTTTAAAAAAAAGAAATAAAGAAAGAAAAATTCAAGATTTGTTAAACAATAAACTATTGTTGAACAGATATTATATTTAAATTTTATTGGTTCAATTTTTTCACCTTTATTTGTTCACCATGTTATTTTTTTCAATAATATCAGTACCGTACGTAGCACGGGTATTCACACTAATAACACAGTATTGATCTGTCTCAGATTTGCAGGGGAAGGTTATCACATGTTGATTTTTGGGTTTATCCATGAAGCAGTTATGATTTAAAAGAATATCAAGTTCTTTAAAGAGGGGTAATCGGTTCTCGTGTGAGTTATAGGATTTCGGAAATCACGATATGGTGAATTCCAACTGCTAATCTATCTGTGGACCGCTTTGCTTCTGAAGTCGATGGCTGGATGCATACCGTTGTCGATTCACGCATTATTTGGCAAAATTGCACTATCCAAGCACACTGAGTACTACTGTTACCTGCTCTTTTTCGACTCAGGGAGGTCAGGGTCCAACCCCTGCATCCCATAAATTTGCCACAATATGTGGCTGGTCTTAATTGACCATCTCCCTTTACCCCTTCTCCTAGATTAGGCTAGATAGGGTTATAGGACATCTATCGTTGCAGGCAAAAAAAAAAAAAAAAAAAAAGAGTAGATTGACACGCATTTTGGTAAAACAGTTTTGGAGTACACATTCGAATTTGATTACCGCATTTTCTATCGCAACGAATCTTCTGTCACATGTCCTGTGTCATTCTCAGTTCTACTTTTTATTATATTGCTATTTCTCCTACATAAGCATTATGTTTTAGTTCTTTTTTGTTTTCTTAAGATCCAATAACTATTAATTGAGTAATCTATATCTATATAAATTTGAGAAGGAATTTTTAGCAACAAGCCTCTACGTATCTTCCCACTACCAATTCCATTTTTCTAGCATTTCACATTTAATTTAATTTATAAAATATATTCCTCTCAACTTCCACATCTACTCTTCACATTTGAAATTGTTGGTTACCTTTTAAAAACATTTCATTTCAAATTGTTGGTTAATATGCATGTTATCCTATTTGAACTTCAACCCATCACGTTTCCGACTGTCTTGCGGTATTTATGATTCTACAACAATTAAAACTTCTATAAGACCATAAGAAAAGATAACAAATATAACATATTTACATGCTTTCTTATTAATTTAAATAAGTAAGATTATTTACACTCTATTTTTGTTATTCACACTTCAATAAATAGAAGGTAACTGGGAGGTTTCGAGGATGCAGTAGAATTGGGGAGTTGGAAGTTTTGCAGTGCAGCTTCAGAACAGAAATCCTTCCAGAAATGAAAGGGGATAGTCGATACATGGTGAAGTTGAAGGATTTGAGCAGCTTTGCACATCGTAAAGTTAATCTTGTGGGCCTTGTGGTTGAGTTCTCCGTTCCCAGGAGGACCAACGGGACTGGTGGGGTTCTTTCTTCTGTATTTGTGTGGGGTTTTTTCTTCTTCTTTGATATATGTACATAAAATGATATTAAGCAGAGGTGGCTGGGTTTGAACTTGTAATTGGCAGATTATTGTACGGTTCTGAAGATCATAGACCAATCTCAACAAACTCCAGAGGTGACTGTTAATGTGTTCATGAGAAACATTGATGGGCTTCCCCACCTTCGTTCCCACAAAGATATCATCCTCCTCTGCAGTTTCAAGGTATAGTGCTACAACTAAGTTGCTAGGTTTTAACAGGCGAATAAAACTGCTTGGTGAATAACCTCATATTTTGATCCCGCCTCTTCTTCTTTCATTTCTTTTCGCAAATACAGGTGGAATTCTATAACCAAAATTATACTGCTGTTTACGACCACAAGGCCTCCTCTTTTGCGCTGTTTGACGGGAGAATTACAAATGACTTCACGCCATATCAAGTTTCTCCGTCATTTTACTCTCTACATTCTGATAAACATTTTGTTAGACGTATGAGGAATTGGTCCCAGATTACTCCTTTTGATGCTGGTATTTACAAAACCGGAGTTCTTGTTTTTACATCTTCACTTTTCGAGTTTCAAACTGTTTTGGCCTTTGCTGTCGCCTGTCAGTATGCTCACGTTTGCTGGTTGAATTGAAACAATTTGCTCTGACCTAGACTTGCTTACTATCTGTGTTTTTATTGTTTGTAAGTTGTAACAACGCATCCATCTTCTCAGGGAGCCTACAGTTGCTTACCCAGTGTACAACTTAATTTTTGCTTTCCAAACATATATATTTTTTTAAAAAAATCTTCCTATTAATTTTTGATCCGTGATTATGCTGAAAATTCTAGAATCTATATGTTACGAACTCATAAAAGACGCAAATCATCTCGAGATCTCGAAATGCCTCAGGAAAGAACTGCATGGCAGCTTTACATTTTGCAATTACTTGCTTTCCGAATCTTAAAATGTGCTTGGGTCAACCAGTATCCTTTCTATGAATATAAACGTCTTTCCAATTGTATGATGCTGGATGACATATCTAGAGATTCCATCTCTTAATATCTGTTTGACATTCAAGTTTACTCTGATGACTTAAGGAACCAGTGATTATGCTGTGCTGCTGAAAGATATCAAAGGGCATGAATTTATTGATCTTGTGTGCATGGTAATTTATAATATAAATTTGTTTCCTTTGCTATGGAATTTTTAACAATATCGTTTTTTTAAACTTCTAATTGTTTGGATTGAAGGTTCTCCATCTGTGTGAAATATCTAATGACAAATGGATGCTATTTGTGTGGGATGGAACTGATGCTCCCGCCCTTCACTTAGAAAAAGAGTAAGTTTTTGCCACCGTCACTTCATGTTAAATGTTCCTGGTGATCTCACTGCATAACGCCTTAAAGCAGAGTGAAATGCCAAAAGAACAAACTTAAAATCTAAGAAGAATGTTTGTTCGCCCTCTTCTCTATAATTTTCTATATTTCCATGGCGTTACTCTAAACTCTCAAGTGTTTAAAATTGTACCTAGATGTTTTCATCATATGTGAGCTACTAATAACGTTACTACTGGTTGAAAAAGTTGCGAATAAGTGCAGATAAGATTCAAACTGGAATGCAGTAACCCTATTCCCTCCATCACGGCTTCATGACAAAACAAACAAACTGAATAGAGCAGGAAAAAAAAAAGGAAAGGAAGTAAGAGTGAAAGAAGAAAAAAAGGAAGTAGCTGAAAGGAATTCCTGCCATTTGGTGATGTTTAGTTTAATTCATTCATAAACATAAGTAATAAAAGAAGCTTTTTGGTAACTCCCATTGGTATGGAAATTCATGTTTGGTATTTTTGTTGATGCATTGAGCTTTTATCCTGTATAAACCTGTCCTGCTTTATAATTGGCAGTCAGTTTCATTTTTAAATTCTTTTTACCACAAGGTTTCAATTTGGGGTAATCTCATTGAAAGGCAAAACTAAAAGCAGGGCCTAATGGCATATGTATTGCAGGGTTGGAGCTGACAAGTTGCCTTTACAATTGGAGCAAACTGGTTTGCCTCCAAATGTTTTAAATAATTTCCCTCGTCTTGGCACTGTATTGAGGGTTATGATTGATGAAAAATACGAGCATTTTGGTAACCATTTCAAAATTGTAAGAGATTGGGTTAGAATCCGTAATCTTCACTGCAGGACTGTTTCGGGCTTGTGGGAAGGTGTTTTGACTCCTCAAACCAAAATTCGACACTTGTCCAGGAATGACAATAGTGTTGTTGGACATTTGAGGTATCTCCTATTGTTGTTAATTCTGAGAAATGTCAATCAAAGGTGCTCAAGATTTTTCGTTTTCCATATGGTAGAAGTTGCTTTGTTTGCAGTTATTGAGCTTCACTATATTATTCCTGTGGGTCTCGTGAGGCAGGGACTATAAGGAGAGAATTGCACGACAAGGTTGCTTGCCTTCCTGTATTAGTCCCACATCTAATTTTTTGACTGGTATTTCATGTTATTTCCATTTCCCTAGTATTAAAAAGTTTTAGCAGTTATGATGCACTTATTATGCAAAGCGATAGGACGATATCTTGGCATTGAAATTATTTATTTTTTCTCAGAGGTACCAAATTTTGAGCAAGCTCGTTGTACTACATTAATGGAACTTCTCACGTCACCTCTGGTGATTTTATTTTATTTTTCTGTACCATGATTATCATTTTACTGTGTTTGACTAGACGTACCTTTTAACTTTGGAATTTCCAGCAAATGCTGTCTGTGCACTTTTGTAGTGAAACTGAAGCTCATTTCCTTGTGCAGGTTCGTGGTATGTTCAAGTGTGTCGTCCGTTTCCTAGCAGTTCTTCCGGCAGAAGTTGAATGCTTCAGATCGCCCACTGGCAGCTATAGGATGAGAATTACCCTGGAGGATCCTACAGCAAGAATACATGCACTTCTGCAAAGTGGAGATGCGGTAGGATTAGTTTCTTTTCTTATGCTTTGAAATACTTAGCTATTTAAATCACATTTCAATTTATTCTGGGGAATTCCGCGTTTTTGAGTTGGCCAGGATGAATTCTTTGGTGATGAGCTAGACATTGATGCACTTGCTGTCAAGATGAACAGATTGCTCGGCATGTCTGAATCAGATAACACATGGCGGAATCCTCCATGGAGTGTATGTTGTATTGGATTTCATTCCTCGAATGAAAATGATCTTTGGGGAAGTAGGCACTTTCATATATGTAACACTAGACTTGTTACGTGATACTATAACTGCATTTAAGGATAGCCAGTCATTAGGGTTTTGAATCATACTCTAGAGTCTAGACTAAAGGGTTTGCTCCTGCAATAGATGTAGTGGTTATTATGTATTGTTTGATTGTCCAGCATTCGATTTACTCGTGGCCTTTGAATGATTCCTCTTTGTGGTGGTAGCCGCTAGCCAGGAAGCAAGAATGCAAGTGAAGATGTTGTGCGTGTTTAGAGTTGTATGTATATGATTAAGCGTCCCCCGTTGGGGACAGGCAGGCAGTAGATAAAATAACTAAGCAATTTTTCCATAGAAAGAAGTCCAAAGGGAGAGAAACAGTTTAAAACTTTTATAAGGTTTTGTTAGGAAAAGAAAAGAAAAAAAGGGATTTTACTCCCTAGAAATTAATAAGTTCCACTAATAATCTGGACATTCATTCGGAAAGGGGGAGCAGGTGCCAGTTTTGCCTCCGATAGCTCACATCCTGCTACTACATGTCGGAGGATGTATTTCAGACCCCCAGAAAGAACCAGAAGCTTTATGTCATATTAAAAAAAAGTAGAAGAAAAATGTAAAAAAAGATGTGCTAAGTTATTTGAAAGTCAACGGCAGGAAAAGGAAATGGCGGAAAATAGTTGCCATGAGTACGGGCTGTGGTGGCAAAGAAGTCTACGTCCCTCCTCCACTCCCCTGGTTCCATGAATCATACTATATATCAACAGACTAGTCTATAGTCTATAGTCTATACTACTGTGAAAAAAAAAAGTAGTCTCTTCCTTATCTGATGATTTGAAAATCCCAAATTCATTCCGGAGTCCATCATTTCATTCCCTTCCCTCCATGGCTTATATTCCTCTATCTTCTTCCCTCAATCTCCCCGCAGCAAAAGTTTCGCCTCTCACTCGCAGCTTTCGTGTTACTACTGCTAGTACCGTTGGCAGTAAAGAAAACCTCGCGGTGTCGTTCAGTTTGTCCTCCCTTCGCCCTAGACCGCCCAAGATTCACCGGATATTTAGATTAACGGTATCCGGAGCTGCCTCTGTTGTATTTCGAAATCTCGACGCCGATGATTTTAGGCATCCTCTCGACAGACAGGTATGTCATGGAGATGTACTCTTTCTTCTTTGTTAATCGTCTTTTATCCCACTCCCACTTATTGTCGGTGATCTATTGAGTTCCTCCCAAGTGTTTACTAGGCTTTGCGTTTTTTCTCTGCATCAGAATACTCTGCTTCTGAGAGCCGTTCCCGGTTTAAATGATATTGGAAAAGCATTGCTAGGTGCTCCTTATTCACCATTCCTGGTTTCACTTTATGATTTCGTTCTTCATGTGCTGATTTTCGCTTACGAGTACTATTAGTTAACAATCATCTACGGAACTGTTGCTGGAAGCTAGTTTGACTGCGTGAAACTGCAGGAACCGTCACAGAGCAGGTCATGCTTTTGGAGAACATTGGTACCTCAGTTCTTGTTACGGAGAATCAGGTCATTTTTTCTCTTTCAGGAATCCATTTTCCTCCACGTGTTCAAGGAAGACTGACTATTTTCTTACACGAAATTGTTTCCTTTCCAATCTTGATGCCGTTCGAAAAAAACTTTGGAAATCATGCGCTGTATGGATTTTGTTGAAGCCCATTGATGTGCTGCAACTGCTTTACCCTGTCATGGTCCCATTTCCTGGATGCTTTTTGACTTTTTACCTTCGCTCTTTAACTGTTGAAAGGTGACAATTGATATTTCATGCAAGTAGGCGCTCTACTCTCCTGTGTCCGACTATGTCTTTGTTTAAACGATAGGCTGCTTCCTTGTTTTACTGGATTTGATGTGACCTTAGTCATTTGTCTTGCATTAACATGTATTTCCTGTTTGTTGTTCTTAGTTTTACATGCAGAAGAATGCCATTAGCTGCGTTGCAAATTAACTCTTTAGAAAACTAAGTTGCCTAAAGGAAGAAGATTCTCTTTAACTTGTTTTCAATTGCCTAATTTGAGTGTTGTGTGTTGTAACAGCTCCCAGAACTTCATTCTTTAATGATTCAGGCCTCCCACATTTTGAACATCGAGTCTCCTGACTTGTATGTGCGTCAGAGTCCCATCCCCAATGCTTACACGCTGGCTATCAGTGGTAAAAAACCATTTATTGTGGTTCACACAAGCCTTGTGGAGCTTCTCACTCGAAGGGAGTTGCAGGTTTTCGTTATATTCTTTTTCTACAGTCACGCACATCACATCGCACACCTTATGGGTCTTTCTACCTTTGCTGGCGTATCAAAATATGTTTTATATGTGCTTTAAGCTGAATATTCCAGTTCTATGACAGGAACTCAATGATGTGATGTTCTTTTTCTTTTTCTTTTCTTCGATTTAGTTTTAAGCAATTTTTCCGTGCATATGCAATCACTCATTCAGTCACTAACTTACTCAATTAGATTGCTGACAACATTTCTTGGAATGGAATATTTAGGCTGTTTTGGCTCATGAATTGGGTCATCTGAAATGTGACCATGGTGTTTGGCTGACATTTGCTAATATTCTAACGCTTGGAGCATACAGTCTTCCAGGTACACAATTTTTATTTAAGAGATTTGACGGGTACACAAGTAGATTAGGCAGTATGATCAGATATAGGAAGCATGGTACCTACTGTTGTTTTTTCTGATTTGTGCTGTTTTGTGGTTGATAGATGTGATAATCATAACCAGTTAATTATTTTTATTGTGCTAATTTGAGATCAGGCGATCTTATTTGTCTGTCATGCTTCCTGTGTGTGAATGGGAGCTGGCATCTCCATTACTGGTTATGGACAAATTTTGCCTTTTCTATCAGTTATCTGGGCTATCTACCGGATGTCATGTCGAGGAGAAACTAGATGCTTACTTTTTTTCTGATCAGGTTTGGACTCTAAAAATAAAGGAGTTTGTTTGGATTGAAGATTATTTGGGACAAAATTTTCCTAATTTTTTGTAAGATGTGATGTAATAAAAATGTGTTTGAAAAAGTAAAGAGTTGGTCAGAAAACGCATTTAGAGAATCTTTAGAAAATTATTGGTCAAATGATATGTATCAAACAAACCAAATAATACCACCATTTACAGGTCTTGGTGGTTTAATTGCCCAAAGATTAGAAGAACAGCTTCTGCGCTGGCTTCGAGCTGCAGAACTTACATGTGATCGTGCAGCGCTTCTTGTTGCTCAAGATCCAAAGGTATAGAGATTTGGAAACAACCTTATTTGGGTGATTGGCCTAAATCATGGAATTAACTTGTTATTATATCTCATGCTCCTACAAGAGGTGGTCATCTCTGTTCTCATGAAATTAGCTGGTGGTTGCCCCTCATTGGCTGATCAACTAAATGTGGATGCTTTTTTGGAGCAAGCGCGCTCTTATGACAAGGCTTCCTCAAGCCCAGTTGGGTGGTATATAAGGTGCGGTAGTGTTTTCAGAGCACTGCATGATTTGAATATCGATACGTTGAGCTAAATGCTTATTTTCCCACTCAGAAATGCTCAAACAAGGCAACTTTCACATCCTCTTCCTGTTTTACGCGCAAGGGAGATTGATGAATGGTCTAGAAGTCAAGAATACAAACATCTTCTTACACGTGCAGTTGTGGTCAATCCTATGCAAAGAGTAGCTATATAAGGATGATGAATTTGATTACTTAAATAGTGCAAATTTACAGGTATGTGTTGGTTTTTTTCAGTATTTTGTTGCTTCCTTTTGCCCTTTTGCATTCATAAACTTGTCCCTCGTTTTCCCTGTTGATTTTGCATGTTTTGCCTATGAGACGGGAGTAGGGAATTATTGAAGCCACTGGTTCTGTATTATGGTCCTATCTGATTCCATTGTAACTTTTGAAGAGTTTTCCTTATATTTTTTTTGTCAAAACAACATTTTTACCACCATTCTCGAAGACAAGGTAAGTTTTGTCTACTTCGGTTCAGCGGGAGTTGAGCGAGACAATTTGTTGATCTACTGATCTTTTATCCTCGTGATGCATATCATATGTGCCCTCAGTCACCTTATTTGCGCATTGCAAACTTATGTTAATGTTTATGTTTTCATTGATGATTTTCTTTGCTGCTCCATGCATAGATCAGGCAGCTATGGCGTATACACAGGAGTCCAGATGAGTGGCTGTAGTAGATTTACTTGTCATGCAAAGCTCTGGTAGATCGATCATTGAAGCAGCTGTTCTTGACTTTTTGACTGATAGTTGTATATTATGCTAGTGAGGAATGTATCTAGTCTTGAATTTAACCCACATTTCCCCACCCAGGAAGAAAAAATTCGGGGGATGCAATCGAGGTTTGCAGTTTGGAGTTAGGGATTGTACCGTATTTGTATAGACACGACATTGTATGAACTGTTCACACACAAATGAAAAATTCGATGTTGGTGGTGTCTATTTCCTCGTCCTACCAAAGGAAGAGTCGCTTCCACTCAATTTCTAGCTCTCTCACACATTGTTTTTTGTCTTTCCTCCAGCTGACAATTATAAATGTAATGAATCTTCCGCTCATTCTAACGACAAATGAAATAGAGTCAGTCATTCTTTTCTGTAATTCCAATTTGGAAATGGGTTGCATTCTCTAGGCGAATGGGAGTGTAATATACCATATAATTGTTTTTTTTTTTTTGATAATAATATACCATATAATTGTTGAAAAAGAGCCATGAGAAAGAAGTAAAGTGGAGTGGTAACATGCTCTACATGAAATAGAAACGGGAAGCACTTAAAACCGCAGATTTTAATTCCATCCTTGCTCAGTTTAACCGTATAGCTTTGACGGCTTATCGGCACTGGAATAACTGTATAGCTTTGTCACGCATAGAATATATTCCAAAAAGTTTTACTGTATGATCTTTAAATGTTTTTTTTTTTGTCAAATAATAAGTATCTGAACTATGTGACTTTCTAGTTTTTAAGTCACCATTTTGCGCCTATAGTTATTGATACGTGAGGCACAGATCTGAGCTGGCGTCTGCATTTTTAGTCAAAAAATAAGCCGGAAGTATAATTTGAGACCAAAATAGTACAATTTATACATGTGATCGATGCTTATTTTTAGGAGTTTTTGTCGAAAAATATATTGTAATAATTTTGATGTATCGTGATGAAGTAAAAAGTTGGTTGCGAAATATGTTCGGTCCAAAAATCACTTTCCAAACAAGGGTACCTGGACCGGATTGAATGATATATTGGTGGACCAATCCGACGGCGCGGAAGTTGTAAGATGATTGATGATCAAATGTAATACTAGTGAGAGTGCGAGACGAGTAGGAAAGAAAAGGATACGGCATTCGTGATTCGTGTCGTCCAAAGCTGCTATGCTGGCAGTGGTAGGGAATGAATCATGAGGTGTCCGTCCAAAGCTGCTATGCTGGCGGTGGTAGGGTATCCTGTGGCATAATTCCTCGTCCTTTTCTTCTCCTTCTTCCCTCGTTAAAACCCAAACATCAACCATCCAACAAACAGCCTTATTCATAAGTAACATAAAAAAAAAAAAGAGGTACTCCTCCTCCTACGTTTGTTATCATCAATTTCCCTGTCCTGGGATCTGCGATTGGCGCCTGCCTACCGATAACAATGCCTGGATTAACTGCACCTTCTGATTACTCTCGAGAACCCCCTCGTCACCCCTCTCTTAAAATCAATTCCAAGGCTAGCCCTTCTCTTCTCTTGTAATTTGTTTTGTGTTCGTCTTTCTTCCTTCGATTTTTATTTATTGGCTAGTTGTTTGAAGTATTTATTAGTGAAATGCCTTTGTATATCTAAGGCATTTATATTTCCCTCTCGTATGATCGATTCTTTCGTCTGCAGCACCAAGTCCCCCCCCCTCTCCTTTTTTCTCTTTCTCTTGAATTGCAAACCTGAAGCGGTCTTGATGGTCGTAATCGGTAGTAGTTTCCGACGTTTAAATCAAGTAAATTAGCATCCTTGTCATGCTGCATTAGCATGCTTCGGAGGTATTCCTCCATTATCTGCTAAGTGGACGTCTTATTCATTCCGTTGATGGGCTCTCCAGATGGTGTGCTTGGCATCTTATAATACTACAAAATCAGTAAACTTTGAATATGAAATTGTTGATAGCATAGTTTTCTATGTTGACTTTGGCCATTTATATGAATACAATTGGTTTTGTGGGATGTTGTTCGGTCGAATGAATAGTCATCCTTCTTCTTCATTTACACTTTAGAGTTCTTCACAATTGTTTTCTGAAGCTTTTGAGAATTATAAGATCTGTTCTCATTCTTGTTTCAGGAACCCTTCAATGCTGAGCCACCTCGCTTAGCTTTGATTTCCTCTTATGTGACCCCTGTTGATTATTTCTACAAAAGAAACCATGGCCCAATACCAATAGTTGAAGATATAGACAGGTCTATCCTTGTTTTTCTCCATTTTCTCGCGCAAGTGGTAGATAGAATGTAGTGACTTATATCTTACATCCCTCATTGACTCCTCTTGTTCTATTGATCAGATATTTCGTTTCTATAAGTGGTTTGGTACAAAATCCAAAAGACATATTTATGAAAGATATATGGTAAGTGATAGGCTAATGGTGGATGACTTATAATACTTACATTATATTCATGGGGATGAAGAACCTTGTCGTTTAATTAACAGGAGTCTTCCAAAATATACAGTCACTGCCACTTTACAGGTCATTCCTTTGTTTTTTTTAAATTTTTTATATATGCCATTTTTATCTTAATTTTCATTTTTCAGAAGTGATTGTGCATGCTAACTGTAATTTATTAATGTGGTGTTTCTCTTTTGCAGTGTGCTGGTAATAGGAGGACTGCCATGAGCAAAACCCGCAAAGTGAAAGGAGTTGGCTGGGATGTTGCTGCAATAGGAAATGGTCAGTGGATGATGTTGCATCAACTAAACTTTTCTTTGGATACCATGATAGTTACCACATTGTCAGTGTATCTTTTCAGAGCTCTCTCTCTCTCTTTGTATTCTTATGAAACTTAAAGCATACTTATCCTGACTGCATCTCGCTCAATTTCTGTATGCAATTACGATTTTCCATTATCATCTGTGCATGTGTTCTTTGTTAGAATGGCTTATTGATGGAGTCTCTCTTTAACATTACCATCGATTCATTATCATGCAGTGTTGATCCAATTGAACTGTCTAATTGGGCCAGTCTTCCTAAAACCCTTTTCTTTTAAAGATTTGGTGGTTGCATTACAGTAGTTGCCAGTTTTCAGTTTCAATGTATTCGGTGAAGATCGTCCAACAGGAAATTTTTAAAGAGTAGAATGACCATGAGTAGTTAGCAAAAAAGAATATGTCCACAATGACACCTTTCCTTTTTCATTTTTTCCTCCTGATGCCTAATGGGAGCATTTTTAAAAAGGAATTGATACTCTTGCGCCGAGTCTCTTCATTTATGCATATCTCTTATGGTTTTTTGTGTTTCAGCTGTCTGGGGTGGTGCCAAACTGACAGATGTTCTTGAGCTTATTGGCGTACCCAAGTTGACAAGTGTTACTCCCTTAGGAGGAAAACACATTGAGTTTGTGAGCATAGATAAGTGTAAGGTGATTTTGTTAGCCTTCATTTTACTTTCGCGAAATTTATCTTTTTTCAAAATATTCCCTTCCACTGGTTGATTAAACTGTTTGGTGCTAATAATTTACATGATCGAATTATATTCTCATAGGAGGAACATGGAGGTCCTTACAAGGCATCAATTCCATTATCTCAAGCCACAAATCCTGTAGCTGATGTTCTGTTGGCTTATGAGATGAATGGGGAGGTATTGTATGCACTAGAATGTCATAAGTTAGATTTTAATTGGAATAAACTTCACTACTACTCTGTAAAATGTATCCCATCATAACATTCAGTCCCATATATGCTTCCTTTAGTTAAATTATGTCTTGCAATGTTGACCAAAAAATTGAATAAGACAAAAAAAAAAAAAAAGGATTTTTTGTGGCTTTCAATGATTGAATTTTGGCCGGGAGGTTAATATGATAAATTATCTGACAATATTATTGGTTTGCCACCATCTAAAGCCTCTGAACAGGGATCATGGCTATCCATTGCGTGTTATTGTACCTGGTGTTATAGGTGCTCGTTCTGTCAAGTGGCTTGATTCCATCAATATAATTGCAGAAGAATGCCAGGTTAGGACGATGGCTTTCAGTTCAATGCGATTATGATTTTGGCTTGGCTTTTAAATATGTTTTTTTCTTTGTCTTATTCTCATTTCTCTTGGTTGACCGGTTTTTGTACTTTACAGGGATTCTTTATGCAGAAGGACTATAAAATGTTTCCACCTTCAGTTGATTGGGAGAATATTAATTGGTCAACCAGGAATCCCCAAATGGATTTCCCTGTTCAGGTGATTGCCCGATGCAGTCCTTTATTGATTTATTGTCCTGAGGTTAGAAGAGTTGTGCTCCAAATAATTACAAGAAATTCGATTTTACCGTATGCTAATGGAGGGTATCCTGAAATAACTATGTCTATTATCATATTAATGAAGTGATGCAATTCCGATTATCAAACTGTTATCAATTATTAAGATCTGGTTGTTGGATGATTAGAGTTCTATTGACCTGCTTATTGTTTTGCTGTTGACAGTCTGCTATATGTTCTTTGGAGGACATAAATTTCGTAAAGCATGAAAAGGTTGGCTGCTTCTGTTAACAGTATACTCAGTTAGGTTGAGCTGCACAGTTTCTGTTTTATTTTACTGTATACTTGCATTGTATTTCTTTTCAGATAACAATAAAGGGGTATGCAGTATCAGGAGGCGGGCGTGGCATTGAGAGGGTAGATGTATCTATTGATGGTGGCAAAACCTGGGTGGAAGCTTCCAGATACCAGAAACCTGGTATTCCATACAATGCTGGAGATTCTTGTAGTGACAAGTGGGCATGGGTGTTTTTTCAGGCTGAGGCTGAAGTCCCACAAAGTGCTGAGATAGTGGCCAAAGCGGTGAGCAAAACGTTTCTCATTATTTAGCTACTTGGCTTCTTTGTTTGAATATCTACAAAATTTTATGTTGTCACATAATCCAAGTCATGCGCGTGAACAATAAGATCTTTTTTATGAGAAGCATGTCACGATTATACAAATGGTCCATGTTTTTTGCAAGGTGATGCATAGTGCCTGGATGTGTTCTTAATGAACCCATTTGGTTTTTCGTATATGATCCTAGCTAGTGCAGAGATCAAAAGCGCCAATATCCTCAAAATTTGCATCTGTGCAGTTTGTAGAGGTGGTGACCTGTCATGCCTGCTCGATCTTTGTTCTTTCGTAGGAGATCTAGTTATACTTTTTAAACAAAGTCATTTTATTGATGGGAATTCATATCTCTTAGTTTCTTCAGTAGTTGAAATTGAATTGTAAGGTGAAGAAGGAATGTCAAATTGCATCGGAGAGATGCATTAGATAACCTGCAAGCTAGCTTCTGTGTCTGACTTTATAATCTTTGTTGTAGCTTTTAGTCATTGATTTGGGGTGTCAAGACTTCTCATTATTTACAAGTCATCTCTGACCAGGTAGATATAGCTGCTAATGTCCAACCTGAAAACGTTGAAGTTATTTGGAATTTGAGAGGAATACTAAACACCTCCTGGCATCGAGTTCATGTCCGCATTGGTCACTCAAATATGTAGAAGCCAGCAGAATAGAAGAGAGTAGCCAAAAGCCGCCATTGTTCTAAGCTGTATTCTTCCACGTTCACGTTCATCGCTTGGGGATGATGTCAAAGATAGTGAAGGATTCTGGATGCCAGCCAGTAGGTGGAGCCGTTCGATTTACAGTAAAGATTGCATCTGTAGCACTCATGTGTCTTGAGTTGTTTCTGACCTCTTCTCCTTTTGAATTAATGATGGGGTTAGAATTTGTGTAAACTGCACATCGTGGCTTTGGCGAGATGAGATTTTGGAGGTCTAATTTTGTTTTGTTATTAGAATTGTAAAGTACTAACAAATTTAAAATTGAGACGACAGCACCAGTTGTTTTATTTGTGTGGCTCTGTTGGGGTGTTTCATCAATTAGGGCCCCCATGATTTCCAGTAGCGAATCTGTTTCACTCGAATTTAGACTTAGCGTCCTTCTCGAAAATGGATTGGGCTGCAACATCCACAATTTTTTATTTTTTTATATAAGGCTCAGCGCCGTTTGAATGTGGTGGTACTGACGCATAATAAAAAAATTGGTGGGGCCAATGGAATCGTGACAACTATCCCAGGCAATTTAGAACCCACTGTAATACTAATCGCAGAGAGTGATGTGGACGATCCTCTTCATTCTCAAAAACACTAGAGATCGCTGTTAGCACAAGTATTATGCAACAAGTACGCTCAACAGTATCACAAGGACTTTGTATCACAATTTCATTCACAACGTAAAATTGAGCTGGACTCTGTCAAATTCATAATGAAGTTGAAACTACTAACACAGTTCACAATTTCTAGCTTCTACCCACATAAACGGTACTGACCTTCTACAATGCTAAGCTTCCAAATTGCTTATTCCACTCCTCGTATATACCAAGTTCATTCGAAGAAACAGAAGGCCTAACCTCCTGAAGTGCATTCTCAAAGTCCTATAGAAAACCAAAACCACAAAAAAGATAATATTCCTTTCATCCTTGAGGTTATTAAAGTGCCATTTTTAAACTGTACAAGGAGGCAGTGCAGCGAGATTTATGTATTCCTAGATAGGTTCTGTTCTTTAATTTTCTCTATATGCTGTAAATTACCTTAACTGTTACGGGCCTCATATCCTCCTTTTTCAGCTTTGTGATTTCAAATCCCCGAGTAAGTGCCTCTCTCAGTGGGCCCATTGAAGCATCCTTCACTAAGTTCTTCATGTCAGATCCCGAGTACCCTGAGAACATGTAAAGGGGAGGTAGGTAAAAATAAAACAGCATTACTACACGTTTTAGGTCCCAAAATCTGAGGAGAAGCTTATATTGCAATCAACAACTTTGAGGCACAGACCTTCAGTCAACTTGCATATGGTACCAATATCTTCCCTTGAAAGCTCAAATAGTCCATCTTTCTCTAAGAGATTCTGCACTATCCATGCTCTCGCTTCTTCATTTTCAGATATAGAAAGTTAGAAAGAAGATCAAAGATGGAAGGGTTCTTAAGAGAATGACAAAAACTGGTGAATCCTGCACGCACCTGAAGAAGGGAGTGGAATGTAAAGCCTTTTAGCAAGTCTCCTTCTTGCAGCTTCATCAAGTTCTTGGGGTCTGTTTGTTGCTCCTGTTTAAGTAACAGAATCACCTCTGTTACTTCTCATAAAACAAGGAAACAAGACACAATATTGCCCTCGAAGAAGAAAAGCAATTGCACTTTTACACATGCCTGAAGTCCGCCAACTACCATGAAATCAAGCAATCATGTGTAGCTTCAATTACAATGGTTGCAGAGTTGAAAAAGGTAACATATGTCAATAGTCTACATACTTGAATATGCATATTTTACCATCTGTTTGCTTCTTAGTGGTGGTTTGTGATACCTAAAATTGTTTTGGGAGTTAAACATTACCTACAAGCAGAATTTGTTCACTTCCAGTATCAAAGCCTTCCATTTCAATCAGGAATTGCGTCTTGAGTCTCCTACTTGATTCATGTTCACCTTCAGACTTACGCTGAAAAGATATACAAGTTCTTAGCAGAGAGAATACTAGAGTTGAAAGAGACCAAGCTTGACTCCCTGATTTCTGAAACATGGCAAAACTCCAATTGCTTGTAGTTAACATGGGACTTGGATAAACTTTAGAAAACTTGGACTGAGCATGTGGGCCTCAAAATTTGCATGGAATGAAGTTTCAGTGAAGTTGAAATGCATAATCCATTTTTACAAATTTTGAAGCCAAGAAGTAGTAAACAATATTATTTCTTCTCTGGAGAGTGGAGACGCAATCAACTTATGCTGATCCATGTTAAAAGAACATCTCATTTGACTCAACATAATTATCCCAAAATGTTCTCTTCTTGGTTGAAAGTGAAAACCTGAGATAGAAGTGAATCAATTTCATCAACAAATATAACGGCTGGCTGACGACAACTTGCAACGCCAAAAAGTGCCCTTACTAACTTTTCACCCTCACCAATCTGCAATCACCAATTGATGGAAATTAATCGCACTGCGTATCTTCATAATCTTGCAAAAGTAATTACTAGAGCAATTGTAAATGAATATGACATAACAAAGCAACCACTTCCATTTGTTTTTTTTTTTTATTGACAAAAATGTTTGTTCCAATAGAGCTGGAAACAACAAGTATCTACATTTTGGCCTGTTATTCACAGCAATAAACAAATTATTAAAAGGCTGTAGGGTGTCTGGTTCCTCCCTAAGAAGGAATCACATAATCAAGTACAACTGAATGTAACAAAAAGGACATTGTCAATCATTCTCTACTTGGGCTACATTTAGTGAGGCCTAATCTATTACTGTTAATTTATAGATGAAAACGAAAAAAGTGCATACATCACTACTAGGAAAGATTCAGACCAAGCATCCACCGTATTTGCCCACTCAAAAGTTTGAAATCCATGACACAAACAGGTTTTAGACTAGGAGAACAAGATACCCAGCAAGTTTTAATTTCAGAGTATCAACAAAGGCACAGGATGTCCAGATACTTTTAATTGTAAAAATGCACTAGTGACTTTTAACAATCCATTACGTGAAAGTGATCTTTTTCCATTTTCTTGTGTGCTAAACGTTATAATCTTATTGGATGATCAGCCTGAATTGTACTAAAAGAAACTCACCCACTTGCTCGTCAAAGAACTGACAGATATATAGAAAATTGTAGCTTTAGCCTCTCCAGCTATTGCTTTCCCTATCATAGTCTTACCAGTTCCCTGTGGCATAATAGAATGACAAATCAATACTAAGAGGGTCAATCTCTTTGGAGTAGGTGAAATAAAAACTTACTGGAGGACCAAATAGAAGAAGACCACGTCCAGGGGAGCGGCAGCCTCTGAATATGTCAGGACGTAGTAAAGGCCAAATGACCATCTCAGTCACACATTTTTTAGCATGATCCAGGCCGGCTAAAGAGTTCATAGGCAATGAAATAGATAACATAAACGCAAAGTTATCTCTCACATTCTGTAGTAACTGGTTATCCAGAAAAATGAAGATGAAAGAATATGAAGAGAATGGGATCCAACTGACCTATATCATCCAACGAACATTTGGATCACGATCCATTATTTCATTGCTTACATGCTCAATAAGGCGAGGTTCTAAATTCCTCAGTTTCTCAGGAAGCTCACCATCAGGACCACACAACAAGTCCAAACTAGAACATGTGTGTGTGTGTGTGAGAGAGAGAGAGAGAGAGAGAGAGAGAGAGAGAGAGCAATCTCAGTTATTCTAGCTGGTTTCATAGAGAAAATTAATTTATTGTCTTATCATAAAATGAAAGCAAATTTATACTGCTAACCATTTCTTGGTTGAATCATCCAATGCATCTTCACTCTTCCCAGCAATGCGTGAAGTTACATTACCAGCACTATTCCCATTGGATTTTATGGGGGGAATGAAATTACCACGGATGCCACGGCGTGGCCCATAGGATCTGACACCATAAACTCTTGCAGCATTATCATTTTGTGGGGAAACTGAAGAACTAGGCGATCCAGTTAAACCTCGCTTTTGCCTTGCCTCCATTTCCTACAACAATGAAAAATCACCAAAATGGGCATCAGTAGATGAAGTCCTCATGTGTTCCAAGGAAAAGGTTCCCGTGACTTGAATCGATTGATAATGCAATAAATTGTTGTTCAAAAAGATCTGAATGGTATGACAACTACAACAACACCAATTAGCTACGACATAGCAGACCTATTTAGTTCCAAATCAATATTAGCTACATTAATAGTACAGAAGCTGTACAGACACCAGAGAAATACCAGTTTCATTCTAGCAGTAACAAATCCATTGCCAGATATATCATTCTCAGTTTCTTCAGCACATGATGGGGATTTTGTGTTGTTGGTTCTTGGGCTAGCAACTTCCATGTGCAGCCTTTTTGGATTAGAATTGTGTGCACATGCTCTTTCTTCATCTTCAGCTTTGACATGGACATGCTGATTCTTTGGAAAACCATGAGTTGGGTGAGCAGTTTCAACAAGTACACAGTCCTCTGAGCTATTCTGAGGTGCAAAGCTACTACTTTTTGCCTTGGAAAGATTTCCATACATGTATGTCAATTTTGTCTGCATAAGAGGTTTCGAGGGTTTGCAGCTTGATTTCTGCACACTGTCAGCTTGATCTCCCTGCAAAAAACAGTTCTTCCAGTAATTTCTTAAGTTTTGCAACCATAAATTGTTTAAGAATCACTGATACATGTGCATATGAAAACAAAAAGAGTTCAAAAAGGTGGTGGCCACTGGCCAGTGGGATAAAAAAAATTCAACAAATGGTTGCTGCAAAGAAGTAAGAACATGTACGCAAAGCAACGCTGGTAAAGAGATAGATGGGCTGTCAATCTACAAACACACCAGCAGACTATTGAGAGCAATTTAAAAACCATCAAGGCTTCATTTTGTTTACCAATCCATTCACAGCTGATCCCTTAGATTGAAGCCGAAGAGCTCGAAAGTACTTGGACTGCATAATCTTCTCAATATTGATGTCTCCTCCCTTGGTAAATACAGAGCTTGGCTCTCTGCCTGCTTGTTGAAATACTTGGCTGAATCATGACAAACATAAACCAGTGGTTAAGCAACTGGAACTTTAAACAAACAAACAAAGGGTAGTTTGTTACAAGATCTATGAAACTATTCATCCATGTTCTCTGGCTAATAGTTTACTCCATAAGCGAATTGATTAATTCAGTCCACAAATTTTATTGACCCAAAAAAAAAAAGAAAGAAAGAAAGAAAGAGAGAAAAGAAGGAAATCTCCTTTATGATATGAGACGACGTCCAAAAAGGCCTTTCAATTTCAATTAGTGAAAGAACAAGGAAGTAAGGCATTTTCATGCCGAGGGCGCTGACAGGTGGGAAAGAAGTGGATAAAAGACGAATTATTTGAGAATGTACCGATCGGAGGAAGGAAAGAGAGAATTTCGAGCCGAATCGAGCTTAGACAGAGCTTCGCGGCGAATAGGGCTGATGAAGGCCTCATCAACGTCAGAATGACAACGAGAATCGAGGAAGCCGACGAGTCCTAGGGCAAGTACTTGAGCCCGAAAGTAATCTCCATTTTCGAGGGCGACATCGGCTCCGAATAGGAGAGAATGAAGACGCTTGAGGTTTACGTCCACTTCTTTTCTCCAACTCGATTGCCAATTAAACTGCGTTTCCATTTTCGTCTTCTCCTCCGACGTCACAGTAGCCATGGCCGCTGCTCACCTATTTTTCGTCTCTCTCTCTCTCTCTCTCTGGTAGCCGTAGTCTCTACTACTCCACTTTCCCGCCAGTTTTGTCCACGCGCACCGCACGTAAGAGCATCCACAATGCTATTACACCTTGTGGAGTGTAATCCACATGCCACGTCAGCATTCCACTTTCTCCTCTTTTATTACACTTTCACTCACAATGGATTACACTCCACAAGGTGTAATAGCATGGGTCCACAATTAATCAAATATTTATTTTAATAATGCATAACTCATATCCCATAAATAAATAAAATAATTTTTAAAACTAATTTTGTTATTTTTAAAAAATAAAGTACTAACTTTCGTTAAATTTTGTACATTTTGAATTTTTTTATTTTCTAAAAATGATATTATTAATTTTTAAGTTTGAATAATATATCTTTTTCTATGTTTCAAAAATAATATATTTTTATTTTTTTAAAAATAATTATGTAAGAAATTAAACAAATATTTGATACTTCAAATGCGAAGATATCATAATAATTCATATTTAATTAATAATTCGGAATATAATTAGTTGAACTCCATAACATAATATTACATAAGTTAAATCAAATAAAAAGGCACAAAAGGCCCACATTCAATGGATTACACGCATCATACATGTGATGCGTGTAATCTTGGAGCCGTGTCATGGAGCGGTGTAATGGCTCCCCATTACACCCCCATTGGAGCTGCCCTGAGAGGTTTCGAAACAAAGCCCATCCGTCTCCGTAGTCCGTACATACATATGCAGCCAGAACGTGGCCCAACCAAAATTATGGAATACCTTCCTAACCCGGCTCAGTTCTGCTGCTTATTAGTAGCAATCATTCAGAAGGAATTTTTTTCTCTTTTTTGGAAAATGTTATACTAGATTTTACTCTCTATGATCATTTGGGTTTCAAACAAATTTATTCTTTAATAGAATAAAACTCATCCATAGAGGGTTTTGTGAATTCGAAATGCCCAAAAAAAAAAAATCCCTAGTTCTGCACTAAAATATTACGACTGTTTTTGGATATTAATAAATAGTATTAGTAGCAATATTGATCTCATCCTAGAAGAAAGAAGTTAATTTTTATATAAGTATTTGCTTCATAGATTATGAGGATTTATTTCTTTGGCTTTTAATTTTCTTAAAACCCCTTCAAAACTTCCCAGACCGGACCCCTAGTGGCTAGTCCTCCA